GTTCACCCGCTCTTATCTATGGAATTTTAGGGTACATATTTCCAGTTCGTGGTCAAGATCTCCTAATAGTGCATGCAAAAGGCGGATGTTGTTCAAGTCAAAACCCACCATGTTCATATTGTAGTAGGATCGTCAGCACTAGCATTTCCAGGCTAGCAAAAAGAAATGTTGAAAAAACTAGAAAAATCATTGCTGGGAAAGCAGTTGGGAACAGAGGTTATCAGGAAACCATCGTAACAAAATAGTTCGCCAGATTTCAGCGCTTAAATACATTGACGTTTATTCCTTAGATCCCAAAACTTTTTCTGCAGTTGCCCTGGCTGCACTAAGCTGCAGAGGCTTGATCCGATAACGAGGCTAGAACCTTGAGGATAGATGTTTTTTGANGCATTTACAGGCTAGCAAAAAGAAATGTTGAAAAAACTAGAAAAATCATTGCTGGGAATGCAGTTGGAAACAGTTTATCAGGAAACCATCGTAACAAAATTAGTCCGCCAGATTTCAGCGCTTAAATACATTGACGTTTATTCCTTAAATCCCAAAGCTTTTTCTGCAGTTGCCCTGGCTGCACTAAGCTGCAGAGGCTTGATCCGAAAACGAGGCTAGAACCTTGAGGACAGATGTTTTTTGAGGAATGAAATCAGCAGCAAACACGTTTTCTTTATGTACTTCTACTAACTTATGAGTTTCTACAGATTTCCAACTGAACCACTCGGACCTCCGGGTTGATGTCGAGCTCTTCTCCTTTATGTGTTACAATTGGCTCGCCGCCTGCAGTTCTCTCGTGTTTTGACGCCCTGCCCCGGGTATACTGAAGTTCTTGCTTTTCAGTCAAACAAAGACACCCACAAAAATACAAATTAGCATGTTCTGTTTAGTAAGGTACTTTTACTCGCCTGCCGACGCGTTTTACGACTTGGGGTGCCGTAAAGAAAAAAAAGATTAACAAGTCACTGTCAGCCATTTTTGTCACTCTGTTGTAAAATCAAGACTACCCTGAATCTCAAGTTTTGAACTATTTTGAAATTAGCCATTGCATCTGCGCAAACGGGTTCTTTATGTCGAATTTTTCCAAGTTTTGTTTGTAAAATAAATGCAAGGATTTCAAGAAAGACGAACATGGAGACTACCTACGGAGGTTTTATTACCGGAGGTTCGAGAATGTGATTTGAGCCTCAATGTCTGCTTGAGGGACGGCCATCGATATTCCTCATTTATTGGTAGTAATCAAAACAACATCATTCGCAAACACTAATACTCTTCTTCGGTTGGATCGAAAGAATCAGCACCGACTTCTTCGTAGTCTTTTTCGAGCGCTGCCATATCCTCTCTTGCTTCTGAGAATTCGCCTTCTTCCATTCCTTCGCCGACATACCTATACGCTGACAGATATTAAGTAAACAACTATGAATTTATACAGTAATTGATAGGAAGTAATTGGGAAGGGGTCAGGGCACGCTCTGCCTTGAGTGACTTTTGAGAAGGTTATAGCTACGTGACAGCCCCCTGAAGAGCCTGAAGCAAGTTGACCCGAGGTCTGTTTGAGCCACTACCATCTTTGTGTGATCGGTGGACCGCACATCTCGACTATCCCAACGGTTAGTTATCAATTTCTGACTTCTTGGACCACGCCTTTTGAACTTTCTCTGTAGATCGAAACAGCGTTTGGCTATATGTTTTCTCAAATGGCTTTTGTCTTCCCAAGTCGCGCAGCAGGTGAAAGAGGCGTAAGCCAAATGAAGTATTGCAAAAACCTTGGTTTGCACAGCTGAAGAAGTCAAATGCACTACGAATCTTCTTTGCTTAGCTTCAGCATGTTGTACTGTTAAAAGACACATCTGAGCAGCGATAGAGCCAGAGCATTCTTTCAGCTTCATTCAGCTACATTTTGGGTGTTGCTCTCGGACAAGAGCCATGTTGCCATTTATTTCCGCAGCAATTGAGCCATGTGCGGTACGTGATCAAATCTGTGAGGTCGAGTGAACAACCTAGCAACTCACTCTCACCTTCCAAGATCCCTTAAATCGAATTCTAAAAAAGACAACGACACTGACAACTAATTCATTTAAATCGGATTTGGCGAAAATTCAATTCAACAGTCTCACCAGTGTACGAAGGCTCGTTTCGCGTACATCAGGTCGAACTTGTGATCGAGGCGTGCCCACGCTTCCTGTGAAATAATATCTATCTGTTCTGCCTTTTCATGGCACACCACTCAATAAACTTTGTACGGTATTTTTTTCACTGCTGCAGGAAGCCTCTCTTCGGTCAGGGTGGACTTTGCTCCAACAGCAGAGCGAATTCACACAAAGGCACAGTCCATAATATAGATGGTTTTTGAGATTCCTCTTCAGTACTAATAAAAGACACTGTCGGGTCGAAAAACGGTCTGTGTGAGGCGTAATAAGGGTCCCAAAAAAAAAGCTCGGCTAACGTTTAAATCATGAAGCGGACGAGATCTCGAACAAGTTTTGATCTCCAGATGTTACCCTATTCGCACCAGAGCCCACACGTTGACATGCAATAAGCTAATCTCCATGAGCGAAGGAATGCTTTGAACACATTTTCGCTTACTTTGGTCACCTGTAGGCAATGATACACATTGGTACAGCTCGTCCAAATATTCGTTCCACATTATTTTTCGTCATACTCTCGCCCAAACCCGATTTTATCCACTTTTTCGAGGCGTTCTTGTTTCTTGTTTCTTTAAAAAGCCTATCGGTTTTTTGACACCATCGTATTACTCTCGACATTTGCTCCCATTTTCGTATTCGCCTAGACACCTCTAGATAATCATGCACTGTGCCTTTGCCCTACATCTTATACGAGCACACCAACAGCGTAGCGGCCAGAATCAACTCTTTCAGTTTTCCGGTCTACAGTCTTTCTTGTGTATATCCAGGATGTTGTTAAAGTTCTACTGCTCTTTATTTTGCTTGAAACTAGATGGTAAGTACTCAGCAGAGCAATCAACAGATTACAATTTATTGTCCCACCTGAATAGCCGTGGTGTTGGACAGCATGCAAACAGCCCGCTGCAATTTGGCGAGATCACCGTTCGGTACTACTGTCGGTGGCTGGTAGTTGATACCTACCTTAAAGCCTGTAGGACACCTAGAATATAAGAATCGAAGCTAACTCATTATTCCCAGCACGAGTATTTCACACACACGTACCAGTCCACAAACTGAATCGCCCGTTTCGTCTTGATAACGGCAATAGCCGAGTTGATATCCTGAAAAGCAAAGGGCAAGCATAGAATTCGCAATAAGCATCGTTCTATAAGAAGCGGATCCGACTCACCTTAGGTACGACGTCTCCTCTAAACAGCAAACAACACGCCATGTACTTTCCGTTGCGTGGATCACATTTCACCATTTGGCATCCAGGCTCAAAGCAAGCGTTGGTGATTTCCGAAACAGTCAGCTGCTCGTGGTAGGCTTTTTCGCTTAAACGAGAGTGAGTTGCGGCGATTCTTACGACCAACTCTTGTTTAGCCCCCGTGAAA